AAAAAAAAACTAGAAATAAACTGTCAGTACAGGCAGTATTCATTGAAATTGGCAGGCAAATTCAAAGCAGGCAGCTGGCCGTTCGCTTGTGCCAGCTCACAAATGCCTGAAGGCCGCACCGAACCACGTCACCGCTGACTAGTAAGTACTGGTCAAGCACGTCGCAACCTTTCAGAACCGTCTCTCTGTTTTCCATGTGTTTCTACGAATTATGAGCTCAATTTAAAAGAACGGATATAATGTAGGGCCAATTGGCGCACTGCCATGCACACGATCCGGAATTGGAATCCCTGGTCATACACACGCACCTTGACCGAACTTCCCTTCACTCGCCTGGGAAGAAAACACTGACTTGTACATAGACTGGTCACCGCATTATTGTATGGTCCACGATCATAACCAAACAGTCACCACGGTTCCAAGTGGAAGTCAAATGTGGGGGCATCCCAAAAGCGAGATCGATAAACGCCACAATCCTTGTCCATTACTGTTTTATCCTGGCTTTCGAGTGTATTTGTTCCTCTGCGTTTCCAGTCTTCGCTTTCTGGTGAGGTTTATGTCCATGTGGCAGGGGAGGCCTCCCTGTGGAGCCAGTTTTCCTCTGGGTGCTACCTTCATGCCCTGTTTCGAGCATTTCCAGGGAGAACTTCCTGAAGAGTGCGAATTTTTCTGTGATGTCTCATTCCGCTGCATGGGCCCCATGGGCCCGAATCTTCCGCCACAATGAGATAATATCCCTCCGGGACCGAACTGATGGCTTCATGAAGATTCAGAAAAAACTCATCCATCCCATATTCAGGGCAGCCGGTTTGTAGCGTCTACACGGATACTATTGTTTGATATCCTTATCAGTATCTTTGCTCATAGTCGTGATTCGACTTATCCTCCTAACAACAGAGCAGACAGTCCTAGAGCCCTTGAAGGACTGCGACCTATAGGACCTAAAACTGATTCGCTCGACCCTCTCTGATTCATCCTCTTCCCTCTGACTAGTATTGGCTAGTCTTCAGTAGGTTTTCCGAAAACATGGGACCTGAATTTTTGTACGCTCCGTCAGACAGGACCATACCGGCCTTGTCAGCAAACGATCCAGCTTTTAGAGCCTTAACTGAACCAAGTCACTCGGCCGAAGTAGATCACTCCTTATAATTCCTCGCACCTTGCCCACAATCTCAAGGAGGGCTCCTAAGAGTAGGTCATGGCTTCCGTTTAGGCGGGAGTCGAACTTCTGCCGTCTTAGAGTGCAGACTAGGGCCTATTCTTTGAACCACCTTGCTAACTGACCTAAAGACACACTCCATTGTTGTGCTCTAATACGTTACTTTTATGGCACTTACTTAAAGACACGGTTCATGATAAAAATGGTTACTTAGTTCTTCCCTTAGGGATACTCAGTGCCCCCTTGTGTGGTATTATAGAAGGGACCCTCTCGCTCCCGAAATCTCGACGGTCAGGGCATAGTGGAAGCCCTGCTGTTGGCTTGAGCGGCTTTCCCGACTCTCGATCGATGTCACGTCAGACGAGTTTCGAGGCATTACAGCCTGCTTATTCGTTCTAGGACCCACATACAATCAGCTGATCGCCGTGTGATTAGGCGATGTTTTTCTCCCATTCTTTTTTCCACTGGTTTTCTTTTTGGTTCTGCGATCCCTTATTTAATTTCCTACCCCAAGAGGCTGAAAGGTGAGCTATTTCTGCAGTTTCTAGGGTCTTTTGTTTCACCTGTATCACCTGTACTCCCGTTGATCGTCGATTTCCTC